GCTCTGGGGGAGGGGGAAGAAAATAGAAATAGTAGCGATGCAAGGGCTTCGACATAATGCTATCTGTAATGTTAAATTACTGAAAATCTTTGTTTAACCAAGCAGGTATTTAGGTTTCCATGAACTTGCAAATCAAAATTAATCGAACTCTAGAAGAGAGAATCTAAGCCAGATTTACGAGCAAATTAAGGTCAGATTCCATTTGGATTCTGAATCAATGATTGACTGACTATAGTGACTATATACATATGTATAGTTTAGGCTGCTGGCCACCTCAACTCTATTCTCAGCGCAAAAATTTCATAATTTCATTGACAACAACAAGCTTACAAGTATACCATGGCTTATATTTAACCCCAATTGGCGATCTTTCGCGAATGCGAGTGGGAAAAAGAAAAGCGGGGCCAGCAGCTAAGTGGCAAGCAGCCCATGACAGTTGCAACTTTCTAATGCTGCAACTGCAGCTGCAACAACAGACGCTGCAGTTGCCACATCACTCTTGGTGGAAAACTTGAAACGGATGTGGATGTGGCCCACACCCCCCCTCCACACCACGAGCTATCGCGCAATCGTGCCAACAACAACAGCAATAACAAAACTAACTCTGCATTGGCATTATGTGTGCCAAAATGCAACAAAGACGAATTTCTCCAACGTATCTCCACCACTGTTGTTGTTGCTATTGCAATTGCTTTTGCTGTTTTCCACTGCAAATTACTTAACTATTTTCTCAGTTTCGCTTTGCATTGCTATTTCTGACGTTGTTGTTGCTGCCCGCCTGCCATTGTTGCAGTTGCAGTTGCATGTTGTTGCATATTAGCCAAGCCTACAACGGCAACAATAACAACAACAACACCAACAACAAAGGCTTTAGACGACGGCAGTGAAAAGTTGGTCATGACAGTCAAAATGGCTGAGAAGGAGCTTGCAAAAAGCGGTAGGGAAGATGGAGGGGGAGAGACCTAAGCCTTGGAAGGGGGGAGTGTGAGGAAGGCAGCGATCGCTGACAATGTCTCAGTGGGCAGCACTTGCTGGTGTGTGTGTGTGTGTGTGTGTGTGTGTGTGTGTGTGTGAGTCAGTCAAGCGATCGCTGCTTCTTGATACGCTGGGGTTGGCATTTAGCACTCCCTTCAAATATAGTACATACATATGTATTTAGAGTCCTCATTTATTTGTCTGCCAGAATTCGCGGGCGCAGTAAATTATCTGTCTACACTCAAAAAAAAAATTGCATAGTATAAATGGACACCTCTTTTATCCGGACACTCTCTACGGCGGACACTTTTCTAAAACATTCGATCGGTGTATAAAGTATTTCAGTATCCCCTTAAGCGGACAAAAATTGGCCGTCCGTGAGTGTCTGGCCAAGAGAGTTTTCACTGTATTTCATATTCAAATCAAATGTAAACAACGTAAATTTAACTAAAAACATATTCAATTACTGATTTAAATATGAACAATATTCAAAACACAGTGTAAATCTTTGTCACGTCAAGAGTGTCATGCTCAATTTAATTGTGGACCATATTTATTTATTATTTATTCAAATAACAAATAGTTAAATTTACTATGTTCCATAGTAAATATTTATATTTTTCTCAACTTTAATTTGAAGTTTTGGAAAGTGGGAAAAGTATTTTATAATTAAGAAAAAGACACCTTTGGCGTGAGTCAAACCCACGTCTCCACATCATAACTTGTACATAGTTTATTACCATCACGCTTTAAATTTAATATTTGAATGTTAAACTTGTGTTTTATATCTACTAAAACACACTGTGGTAAAAAATCGATGGTAAAAATCTACGTGTAAATATTTAAATGTACGTGGGTTTGTTTTATTAGTGTGTTACTTTTATGTACAAACTGTATGTTACATACATACATATATCTGATGTACATATGCGCACAAGAAACTTTATGAATTCAGAGTTTGTTGGGGCATTATAGAAACTCCGATTTCAAACTTCGATAAGTCAGTCTACGGCGTAACTTTATAAAAAAAAACTCACTTATACCAGTTTGGATCTATGTTTTAATAAACAACACAAAAATGTATGATAAAAAATAAAAATATATATATTTGTAATAGTATTCTCTTGAAACTGATCTACAAAAAGTGTCCCAACAATTTCTATCCAATTTCTTCTATAGACCCTGCACCTAAAGGGCATTATGAAGTCGTTTAGTTTGTTTGTAGAACACCCCCACGAAGACGTGATTATCATTACAAAACAATCGTTTCACAGATGCCCGTCCGTCTGTATGAACGTCAGATGCTTAGCTAGCATAAGATATAGAGCTGCCAAACTTTGTATGCATGTTCTCCTATGTCAAAGGCAGGACAAGTTTATGTTTTCCCAATGCAAAACCATCATTTAAAAAAGGGTTAAAATTGTTTCTTTTAGTAGCATTTTTGTTAAAGTGCGTACAGTGCATTGGGGAATTGCACCGACAAATAATATATAATAATGGTAATATATGGTTTTTAATAAATACTTGTATATGGATAAGTCTTGGTACATCGAGCTTGGTGCCTGATCAAACCACATCCATTTTTATTTCGTGCCATGTCCAAATATATATTTTTGCAATGCATAAGACCTTAAATCCAAATCCATCAATACTTATTGCCCAATTAGTATTAGTATTAGTAGTCAACTAATTTCAGCCTTTATCTGGATTGTATACTACTATTGCCTATATTTTACGAGTGCAGTTTGTGATTGCAGGTGCAAATAAACCATAAATTCGTTCCGTTATGTTATCTATACCAATATTATTAAGAGGACATATTTTATTGTCTGTATGTTTGTTTGATTATTTGGATTGAACAGACTCCGAAACTACTGGGCCGATTTAAAGCTACACTATCCCCCGTTAAGATAGGCTATATTATATTTGCAAAAAAGTTAGGGATCCGTTCTAAAACGCCAATAATGTAATTGTGTACAAAAATTACTGAACCGGCTGCTTTTAGTTCAGCATAAGTATTAAGGCAATATTATTCAAAAGTTATTCAATGAAGAATACCAAAAAACATCTAAAAATGAACAACAAAAAAATCATTAAAATAATAATATCCAAAAATAGTTTTATAATTTTTGAAAATTTTGTAAAATAAATGACGAAAGCTTTCATGGATTTCTGTGCAAATTATTTGCAAGTCCGACCACATGGAAATCATTTTGTACGTAACACACAAACTTCTAGGCAATCTGATCTAGTGGCAGAGGAAGTGGGTTTTTTTTTTGTTTTTTTTAGCAGTTTTTGGTAAAATTCGTATGCAAACAATGAGTCTTTTGACTCGTTTCGAACACCCGTTTGTCATTCAATTGGGGGCAGCGCTTTATAGAGCGGCCACAATTCGACAAAAGGCCGATCTTCATTCAGTTGTGCACTTCACGTTGTCAGAAGATCCGATGACCAAAGTGACTTTTACTTTGCGAGTGGTGGTGGCGACTTCTATGCGAGTATACTTACTACAAGTATATGCCACAATCTCTCCGCATTTGGCCCACTGATCTAATAAACTCCCCATTGTCATTCGCTGGCACACAACTAGCCACTCCATTTGTCACTCGATCACATAAAGTCAGTCGTGTGTGCGACTAACTGGGGCACATTCATTAATTTATGCATGCAAATATAATACACCACAACAACAATAGCAACAATGGCAACAACAACCAATGCTAATGCTAAATATACGCAAGCGAGTGTGGAAATTGCAGTCGACACACAAAAATAGAAAGTTTTTCCAATTGCATAGCCAGCCGACGATGTTAGCTGCAATTTTCTCTTTGCAATTTGATTAAATAAAATATTGTGTAAAAGTTTTGCCAACAACAGCAACAACAATTGCAACTGCGGCAGCAATCGTTGCTGCTGTTGCCGGCAGCGCAACTTTCCAACTCGCTGCGAAGCAAATGCAGTTTGGCTTCTAACTCGGTTACTAGATGCAATAATAATTGCATTTGTCCCACTTTACTTTCACTTGACGGCCGACCGAACGACCGACAAAACGCCCAAACGACCGACTGGTTAATGCAACTGCAACAACAACAACAACATCAATGGCGGCGGGCATTGCGCATGTCGCTTTATCCGCCAAAACGGCAATTACAACAGCAACAGCAAAGGCAACAGAAACCGCAACAACAACAACAAGCGGTGCAGTCAACGTCATCGTCATCGTCGACTTTGACTTTGCGCCTCTGTAGGTCTATCTGTTTGTCTATTTGTGCAGCGTGTTGCATGAAAAGTTGCAACTTTTTCCAAGCCAGCGTTGCTCTTGCTTGGTGGAAATTGTTGTTTGCTGTTCGCCGTTTGCCGTTCGCCGTTTGGCAAAGGAAAAGTGGGTCAAGCGCAGCATTGTTGCCATTATTGTCGTGATGTTGCTGCTATTGTTGGTGCCGCTGTTACTTGTTGCATGCTTCTTGCACATGGTAGTGGCAGTTGTGGTGTTGGTGTTGCTGTTGCTGTTGGTGATGCACTTAATTGACAATTTCCAATTTCCACAGAGCGAGAGAGAGACAATTTTGTAGTTGCTTTCGGCATTTGATTTATGAAAATGGGTTACAAGTGTCTCACTGTTGGTCACGCGTTTTTCTTCAGTTTTGTTTTAACATTTCATTAATTTATTTACTAGAATTATTATACATATATGTATACATACACATATATATGTATATACATACATATATACATGCGTATATATGCACTTAGTCAATATAGTACAGCAATTAATGTTCATCTTAAGTAATTAATCGCTTGTTTCATTTGCATTTCTTTCTTATACACATACTTAGGCGTGTAGAATTTTTTTCTTTTTTTTTAAAGAATTTTTGCCCAGAATCTTGCCTCTATATATGCGATATTTACACTTTTTTTAGATCTTCAATAGAGTTGGACAAGCTTGCTTGTTTACAGGATTTCACAGTCGAAATGAAGATAAAGACATGCGTAAAAACAAAAATAAGAGGACAGCAGACTGTGGATATTCCCGCATTACGAACTGTTTTTTTTTCTTTTTTTTTAGCATTTAGAGCCAAGCATATACATAGTATTTACATGGGGTTTCAGTGCGTCTTTCGCATTGGTACAAGAAACGTAATTAGTTTTTGGTATAAAAAATAATAAATTATGAAAATATGAAATAAAAACATCAAATGTTAGAACGGGCGTTGAAACAAACTGATAACAAAGTGCCCAGAAAGATAGATTATTCAAAGGTTGATTGGGTAAATACAAAGATCTATAACGACGATCGGAAGAAGTGGTTATCGGCGATGCAATATATTGGACAGAGTGCGTATTTGTTTCTGTAGCTCCGAGTCCATGCGACAGCACTCTTCCTCCATGATCTGGCGCATCTCCTTCAGATCGGGCAGCTTGTCGGCCTGCATGTTGAGTAGCTCGCCGAAGAACTTGCCCCACACGTGCTTCTTCAGATAGCGCGGTAATTTCTGGCGAATATCCCACGAGGATCCGCGTTTCTGCGGCTGCATATACTCACCAAAGAGCATCACATGCACGGTGCCTGCAATGCAGAAGAGATCCGTTTCGTACGACCACGGGCGACCTTCTTGCATCTCAATGCAGGTGAAACCATCCGTCTGCACCACCTTGCGGAACTTCGTGTGTTCGCCGTCCGGGAAGAGGGACATGTCGATGGCACAGCCAAAGTCGATAAGGCGGAGCGACGGCAGATTGCTGTCCACACTGGGTACACGCATCAGCAGGAAGTTGTCCGGCTTTATGTCCGCATGTATGATATGCTGACGATGGAGATGCTCCACAATATTGCATATCTGTGCCGAGAAATGCATGACGAGCGATTCGTGCATCACTTTTGTGGTGGCCTGTCGTATTTTATTGTTGATGTCCAGCAGCGAACCGAAAGGCGAAAACTCTGTAGCAATCAGGCTGGCATTGGGCGCTATAATAGCCGTTGAAATATCCATGAAGCCGGGCAGCACTTCTGGGTTTGTGATGCGCTTCAGCACCTAATCGTATAAAAGAAATGTTAAATAAGTATATTAATACACATGGAATCTCATCTATTTATTCTTAACAATTCCCTTATATTTAATAACAACTTCTAGTTGTTGGGAAATGCGCGATTACTTTTATGACTTAACTCTAAATATAAACATTTTAAGTTCGGCATTTTATACTTGCAATCGAAACAGACAACCAAGTAAGCACGAACCAGTCCTATCGTCAGCTATGATATAGTTTATTGAATTCCATTTAAACTTTGATATACAGCTTAGCCATTATCTAAAACTAATAGATAAATACCAGATTTGGTTACACTATTTTTAATACACAAACAAAAATATGTCCTGTTTGATTATTCTACCAATCTATTCTATGGCAGCTATATAGTTGTAAAACAATGATATAAATATGCAAATATAAACATTTGTCATAAAGGTGAAAAACATATTGATATTCAGATGGACGGACAGACCTAGGCTATATCGATTCATCGCAATGCTGATCATGAGTTCTCCCTGTTTTATATCATTTTAAAGCCGCCTGGTACAGGATATAAAACTGAAATTATAAAAATTCCCATGTGCATCTTATTTGATAAGAGTATACATTTTCGGTTGTGGTACAAAAATAAAGGAAATATATATTACTCGTATATGTACATCGTCTGCATAAAAATAGTGATTGAATCTTAGACTTTATTTAATCTATTACATGGTCATGATTCGCGACGCGAATCTTCGAATTTGAATCTTACATATATGTTCTGATTTTAATCAATAAGGAAACATGGTGCAAAGCTTCAGATCAATGCCAATACGTACACTGAGAAAAATATTAAGATTCATCCCGAAACACTAGTACATATTGTTTTATGAATTCCACACCGTTTTCATTGAAGTGAACACTTTCTTCTGGATGTTCTATATATTTCTTACCATTTCTAGTACATATTATTATTTGTGGGTTGCATGGTGTCTAACAAGCAATTATATAGTCATTCTTTTTTATTACTTTTTTAATTTTATGCATAAGAGTATATCATTATATGATTTTATTTTAGCCCATTTTATAGGCTTTTCTATAGAACAACATACCACCCGATATTAAGGAGTTTATGTATTATTGGATGAAGTGCTGTTTGCTGGAAAAACATCTTTATCGCGCACTAAATGTTAGTCTCTCGTTAAAAAAGCATACAGCGTGCTGATCTGTAAAGTCACAATAGCTGATAACTTTGTACATCTGTTGAAAATGCACTTAAAATAAATTCTCGAGATACAAATGCAAGATTTATTAAAACATTGCCAGCAAAATGTGTTTCTAGTTGTATCGATGTTGCCGTAGAATTAACCGACGATTAGATGAAACTTGAAACAAAAGTAGATAATTATATAGAAATTATGTGTGCAAAGTTTGGTTAGGGTAGCTTTTGAATTGTGGACGGTATTGACGAAATTCTGTAGCGAGGGAAGGGAGGGAAAATTCCAAAAAATAAAATAAACTCGTCCTTTCTCGGACCTAGGAGAATCTGGATACCAACTTTGTTTATCCTAGCTTTTATAGTTTCTGAGATCCTTGCGTTCATCCAGACGGACGGACAAACGGACGGACGGACATGTCTAGATCGATTTCTCTCCTCATGCTGATTCAGAATGTATATACTTTATGGGGTCGGAGATGCTTTGCACAAACCTAATATACTCTTTTTAGCCTACGGGTACAGGGTATAAAAAGTGGAGAAGCTAAAGTCGGGTGTCCCAACATTGAATTACTCTGTACATACATATGCCTAGAATAAGTATGCGTGCCTATGGGTGTTTGTGTGTAACTGTGCAAAGCATCAACAACAACAACAGTTGCGTGCAGTGCTTGTCCTGAAATTATATATAGCTGTAACTTCCAGTTAAATCGGCTTATCATAATGAAACTTGGCTCATAATCACCAACAAAAAGTTTTTGCCAAATTAGAATGCAAAATTCCAAGAAATACCGGAGTTATGAAAAATGGCTGGTTGTGGAAAAGAGGGGGAGGGAGGTAAATTCCGAAATACACATTTTCTGCGTATTCACATAATGCATCTTGGACTAAAATGGTGACCCTAAGTGGTATAGTCTTGGAGACTTAATTGATTATACGAATGGCGTTTCCGAACATCCCCATTATCGGGGGAGTGGGGGTATAATCAAAGAAAAAACAAACGTGCAAAATTTCGTGTCTCTAGCTCTTATAGTCTCTGAGATCCAGGTGTTCATACGGACGGGCGGACAGACAGACAGACATAAATCGCATCGTCTTGTCATGTTGATCAAGAATATATATACTTTGTGGGGTCTGCCACACCTCCTAATATACTCTTTTACATTTAATGTTCGGAGTATACAATTAAAAGAAAATTATGTAAAGGGGCCCACTGGCTTACCTGATCACAAATGTAGATCTCCCAGGTATTTGGGGGTTTCTGATACTTCAAGGCCACTACATTGCCCGACCGCGCATCGGTCGCCTTATACACCGAACCGTAGGATCCACGTCCAACCTCCTTATCGATGCTGAACTGCACGCCCTCTAGGACGTTGAGTGTGCGAGTATTGGAAATTTTTGGCAGTGGCGTTTGTATAATCTTATAGCTTGCGTGCACATCATCGCCGGGAAAGTCGAGCTTGGCGAGGAAGGCGCGGCACAATTCACTATTGAACGGATCAATGGCCTCCTTAGCCATATGGCGTTCGATGGTCTCCAGTGCCTTGGACAATCGGCGTTCTTTGGCCTCAATGTCGTGTTGGGTGGCAAAATACGAATTCTCCTGGAATGTGGAGAAATCGGCCACCGTTGTGTTTCCTGCTGTTGCATTATGGATAGTGCTGGTGTTGTTGTTGTTGGTGGTGGGGATATTGTTATTGTGCGACTGCATGGTTTTATTATTGTTGGTGGCCACACGGGAGACATCGCGGAAATTTAGACGATCCACGGCCGATGCTAATGAACTATTGGAATTATCAAAGGCACTCGCGCTGGCGAATGAAAAATTGGCATTGTCGTTAAATGTGGCATTTTGTAGGGTAGCCGCACCGCCGGCTGGAACAGAAGCAGGTGCTCTAGCTTTCGCGGCAGAACCTTGGGCTATAGCAGCAGCAGCAGAGGCATTTGCTTCACCATTGAACGGAAACTCCAAAGCGGACGATGATGAATTGCTATTGCTGCACAGGTCGGCTTGGAACTTGCTGCGCTTTAACTTGCCACGCGCTCGTCTATAGCCATTAGCTGCTGATACACACTCGCTCTTTGGCGTCGACGTCTGCCCCAGCATATAGGGATGGAAGTGGTGGCCATTGCGTTGCCTCTGCACATTGCTCTCCAGTTTGGGGGAAGCGGGCAGATGCTCCTCCTGCTGCTGATAGGTGCGCTCAATGGTATAGGCACTGTAGGTGCTGCTCTGCAGTGTATCGTTGCCTGCTGGGCGCTCCTTTTTGAATTTTATTTTTATCGAACGATTCTGTTGCTCGATCGTCGTTTGCGCACTGAACTGCATACCATATGTTGCCCCGACATTTCCATTTGTGTAGGAGGCGGCGTCGTCAACTTCGTCTGTTTCGGCTTCCTCATCTTCGTCGCCGTCTTCCTCCTCCTCATCGTCGTCGTCGCCACTGTCTTCATCGTCGTTTTCTTCATCGGCCTCAGCTTCCTCTTCATCTTCAGCCCCATTACTTTCCGCTCCATTATAACTGGTTGTGACGTCGCTGCCGCCACCAGCAACGCCGCTGCTGCTGTTGTGAGAATTTAAAGCTCCGTCCACAGCTGTTATATAATAAGAGGCCTCTGATTCATAGGAATCGTAAAGCTGTTGTTGTCGTTGCTGTTCCAAAACAGTTGCTGAATACGCAAGTGGCTCCTTTTGATTCAGCTGTTCTTGTACTATAACATTGGCTTGTTGCTGATGTGGCTGCTGTGGTGCTGATTGCTGCCGACGCCTCTGCTCCAAAAGCTGCGCATATTTGCGCGCTCGCAACTCCTCCGGACTGTATTCAATGCCCGCGCCGATTGGATAAACCAGTTGCTTGGGATAGTGACAGACCCGACACGGATCCTCTGGCTCCTCCAGCGTCAACGCTGGTTTCCAGGTCTCGTGATTGTTGCGTCCGCAGGGATGAAAGTTGCGAGGAAGTCGCAGTCCTGCCACATCTAACGAGCTCTCCACAGTTGCAGGAGCCGATGCGGCTTGACTCGTAGATAAACCATTGCCATTTTGCTGCTGGTATGGTTGATGCTGATTAAGCTGCTGTGGCTGCGGTTGTGCATGAGCATTGGGATGCTGGCCATGCAATTGCTGCTGCTGTTGTTGCTGTTGTTGAGGAGGTGCTGTTTGTTGCTGTGGCTCATAATGTGAGGCTGGCGGCGTAAGCTGTAAACAGATTAGGCATAAGTTACCCGTAATAAGGATTGTCAATTTCATTGACTAGCTTACCTGACTGTGTGGCACAATATGCGGAAAATGCTGCTGAGTCTGTGCCTGTGATTGTACCTGTGCTTGTGCGTGTGGGTGTTGCAAAGCGGCAGCTCCGGCTGTAGCTTGCAGCTGTTGTTCGTAACGTTGAAGAGGATGCGGTTGCTGAGTATGCTATAAAAGTTCAGTGCTCAAATTATATAATAAGATGCGATGATTGCTGCTTACCTGATGCTGGTAGTGGGAGTGTGCCTGCGTTTGTTGGTTTTGATGTGGAGGATACGGATGCTGGTGTGGAAGGTTGGCAGGTTGCTGCTCTGCAGGCAGCTCATGGGGATGCGTTTGGTATTGCGACTGGTGATAGATATGCTGAGACTGTTGCTGCTGTGCATGCTGCAGATATGGCGGATGATGTTGTTGCTGTTGCTGCTGGGGGCGATGCGGCTGCGGATAGCTTTGTGGCATCGGTTGATGAGCCTGATGTTGTTGCTGCTGCTGGTGGTGATTTTGCGTATATGTTGCCAGTTGTTGCAAGGCATCTGGCTGCGGTGCTTGTTGCAAATGCTGCTGCTGTTGCTGGAGATGCAAAGAACGCGCATATGTGAATTTACTATGTGCATGCTGTAGCTCGGCATTGCTTTGTGCCTTCTCCTGAAACGCCAAATTGAATACTGCCTCGGCGTCTTTGTACTCCTCCCTAGATTCGTAATAACTTGCCCAGCCGATGTAGAACGCAGCCACTTGGCGCCCGGTGCCTCGCTGGTAGAGCACCTGATAAAAGTGCAGTGGATCTGTCTGCATTGCTATGTACTTCAGCCACAGACGCACCAACCGTGGGTCCTGCCTATAGTAGTCATTGTGCTCGTATACGGTAAGGCAGCGTTCGAGCGTCTCTCGGAATTTATTCTCCGGATCGCTGTGTGCGTGGTTCTCGTACCAACATATGTAGTTGTACCAATGGTCAAGGGGATCTGGCCCTTGGTACAAGGCAACAGCGTGCTCCCAGGCCTGTTTGTCCTTTACGAAGCTGCGCATTTGATCGCTGTTGACGCTCACGCTGTTGTTTGTTTGGCTTTGGTTGGGACGCAAATAAGAGGAGTGCATTGCCATGGAAATTCTGCGGCCACTGCTGCCGTGCTCGACGTGCTATGCTTGCGAACATACACACGACATGCACGTGCAACAATAATGTGGCGGTCTTACGGAGATCGCGAGTGGTTAATGCATACGCACTATGAAGTTTCGTAATAAAAACAAATTATTATCAAATATGCTTAGAGTGTGCTCCGATGGCCTGAATTAGGTATCGAATGGCGTACACTCAGGCACAAATACTTGCTGCTTGACAGCTTTAGCATAAGTCCTATGATGTTTTCGCACTTGTTTACTATTTGTATGTTTAAGTTCACTCGAGATAGTTTATGTGTCCTGCGCCTATCCGCTTTTCCCCGCTCGTTTTCTTGCTTTTTCACGCTTTCCTGGAGCTATCGAGTGAACCTGTCTGGAAAAATCGACGAAAAGTATCGATAAGGCTAAATTGCTTATCGAATATATCCCGCTCCAGCAAATGCGTGACTCTTCTTATTACTTGAGCTAAATACACGAAATTAAACTCTGTATTTCCACTTTTACATATCAGTTGATTATTTGAACTGTCACTTAGAAAATACACAGGGCTTATTGGGCGCAGCATTCGATAAGTACCGGAAAATTTCATAAGTATTTTGTAGCGTTGCCACCTTATCTTCTATTTGCAAAATGGCGGCAAGTCTATAAATTAAATTAATACCTACATTGACCAATTTATCATGCTGTGTTTTAGAAAAATAACGGCCATCTGGACCCGTTCCTACTTTATATCGAAGACGTGCGAAAATCCAGCTGCTACATTACTTGTTGGCTTATCACAGTCAAACAATGTAATGACAATAACATATTTATGTACAAATATATTTGATATTTTATTTCTATGGCTCAAAATACAGTAACAAGCCCTTTTGTTTGAACTATAATATATACATTTCATAAATTTGTTTAATAGTTCAGCTTAATTCTTTTCAAAACTGATGTATGAGTTCCTTATTAGTATTTTTGAATGCTTGATTTTTTTTACTCTGACACCGCTTTTTGATGATTAAGGCAAGGCATTGCGATTAGAGAGTGTTGTCTTTTTGCATAGAGATGAGTCAAACCGAATGTCACGCGGCTACTGTGGCTGTGACTATATTCTATCTGTGACTGTATATTATGAAGGTGGTTTAAAATATAAAGTCGTATTTATAAACAACACCTATGTATGTATATTTGATCAAATCAAGTGATTGATTTGACTAAAATTAGTATAATTTTAAATTTAGTTCAATAGATGAGCTGTGACCTTGTAGTACTCGTGACAAGATAGCACTTCCACCTTTTGCGTATCTCTAGTTTCGTATCCCCAATAGACAGCGCCACTGCATAACATTTATATATATGTAGTCTCCCGTAAAACATAAAGATAAAGCTTGCTATTACGTTTAATTTGTAAATCTAAAGTGTTTGGTCCCCGTACATATCATAGTTTAAAATAATACGTCTTGCTTTGCGCTCAATACCCGACTGTTTATATGTTTTTTTGACCCCCGCTGTGGTGTCTCGCCTCGTCGCTGTCGCGCTGTGTTTATCGATTTCACTAAAGCTGTATAAATAACAGGCAACAAACTGCATACGCACTCGCGTAGATAATGGAAGTGTCGTCCGATCCGTATGAGCAGAAACTGTATCAAATGTTCCAGAGCTGCGAGACGCAGCGTGGCCTGCTCGACGAGAATTCGCTCTCACGATTGTGTAAGCTATTGGAGCTACGCGACCAGGGCTCGGCTCTGATATCTAGCCTGTCTGCCGATGGTAGTCCTAAGCTTGGCGTTTCCTTCGAACAGTTCAAGGAGGCCTTGCTGAACTTTCTAGGCACCGAATTCGACAGCGGATCAACGTCGAAGACGGCGTTAGGGTCAACAGGATTCAGAGGTAAGCAGTTAACACATTTAGCGGACTAGCAATAGGTAGTTGAGATGGTTCGTGTGGTCAGGACCATAGATGCAGATGTGCAACATCATAAAATACCCGACCCAATGATCTACTGGGGGGTGGCGGATACTACCTGGGCAAGCAAGCCAGAGTGCAGGTAGCGCGCTTTTCCCTATAAGTAGACATTCCATTCAGTAGGTCGCTTTAGTTGAAATTATGATCTAGACCAGACACTATGGGCACACGTTTCTATTACAAACAAGCCAAGACCTCCAACGACGCGGTTATTGAAAAATTATCCGCACGTTTCGGTAGACACAGAAAACTGAAATATTCCAAAATATACATCCTAACCGTGCTTAATATTTACAGAGCGCTCCTTGGTCATCAGCGACGAACCGCTCCCCAGCACATACATCGAAAGTCCGCCCGAGTCATCCGATCGTGAGGTGTCGCCCAAGCTAATTGTGGGCGCCAAGAAATATGGAAGGCGTTCACGGCCGCACCAAGGACTCTACGAGCTCTCGGTTACGGATTCGGACAACACAGATGAGGATCAGCAGCAACGCAGCTTAAATGGGTGCGATGAGCAGGGCGTGCAAGTGAGTAGAGACAATGTAATGTGAATAGAGATGATCCGGCTAATGTGCGATCATTTGTTTGTCTTGACAGGTTCATCGCTCCGCCTCCCAAACGGATCTCCCTGGCAGCAGACGCTTGCGCTCCGGCCACTCAAGCGGAAGCAAGCTCAAACGTTGCGCTTCCTTGCCAGCGCGAAAAAATCTGCAGTCGAAAATGCAAGCGTCCAAGACAGCAACAATGCTGGCGATAACCACCAATACGACAACGACGGAACCATCGACACAATTGACATCATCAATGTCAACAACAACGAAAGGTAATGCTCAGGGCTCCATGCTGCCACTTAAGCAGCAGGCGGCGCAGGAGCAAAGTAGCAGCGTTGAGTCATTAGGTAAGTCTTTCCTCTCATACGAATTACTCTCAGGTTCTGTAAGCCCAAGTTAAAGTCGCGTCTAACCACCAATTAAGTGCCCAAAAATCTCGTAACTCGCTGTAATGAACACTTTTTGAACTCTTATTTGTTGGTAAACACCTTAGGCCATCACCTGCCAACACGGCAAGAGCACTACAGCGCCGGATGTTACTACGGCGGTCGTTTGTGTTGCAAAGGTTTGTGCGTTCTCAAGCGAAAGCCATATATACATTCCACCAATTCACCACTAAACCACACCCAAAATGTAAACGTACCCTGCCATCGCCGATTTTGTTTCGTAAATGTGACTAGACACGCACTCTGTAGCTCTGCACATAAGGAAGTGATTTGGAAAAATGAGTTCCCAAATCAAATATTTGTTAACGCGAAAGGTTAAATTAAATACTTGTTGTTGGGTTAGGCATATTTCAATATAATTACAGTAGAGAACTTAAAAATGTCAATTCACAAGTGGCTATTTTAAGGTTCTTAGATTCATGCATAGTTTTTATTTCTCAAATCGAACATTAACTTAACATATCACGTCTAGAGCGTCTAACTCGGCGACTTTTAAGTCATGATTTGAACATATTTCGAAACATTAAACATAAAATGAATTAACTTAACATCCTTTTCTTTCGTTCTGAAATAATTTTATGAGCTATTTCGGTTTTAATTTTTTTTAAATAAGTAGTTTAAGAATAGTTGTAATATCCGCAGTTATTATAATATTTTTTTGGAAACTTTAATTTCAACACACTCCATACTTTGATTTCTCTGACTATGTAATATAAACACACATACAAATGTAAAACCGATTAATCGGCGCTTCCGCTTACACCATAACCCAATCCTCACCCCACCTCTATGTAAACTGGTATCTTGGGCTACAACTCCTACCTATAACTTATACCGATAACATAACCATATAAAGCTAACCCGCTCATGCCTTACAGACATTGTGACGCCGCAACAACTAGAAACTTTTAGCGCACACACCATCACCGAAATCTGGGAGATGGCCAGCATTGTAAACGGCCATGCGCTGTTGCATACGCTCGGCTTCGACGAGGAGCAGGTGAATCTAATACAGTTGACCAAAGTACTGGAGGAGGAGTTGCGGGGCTTAGAGCATGACCCGCACTCTAATATGCTGCGTGCGCTCGTCGCACTGCAATCCGCGGAATTGGGTTCACTACGACAAGCTTTTCGGCAGCAGCACGCAGAGAACATGAAGCTACGTGCCGACAACAAGGCAGCCAATCAGCGTGTGGCGCTGTTGGCTGTGGAAATCGACGAACGGCATGCCACGCTTGAGGATAATTGCAAGCAGCAGATCCAGCAGCTGGAACAGCGGCATGCCAATGTCATCCGTGAGCTGACTGTGCGCATGAGCAACGATCGCGATAACTGGACGAATATGACTTCACGTCTGGAGGCACAGATCAAGCAACTGGAGCAGGATGAGATCAGACTGAAGACGGACCTCGAGCTAGTACGCAATGAGAATGCAGAGCTGGAGACAGAGCACCAGAAGGCGCAGCTGCAAATAACGGACCTACTTGAAAAGAACATCAAACTGAACACAGATCTGGCCACTTGTGATGTGTTGCGTCCAAGCAGCAGTGGCGATAACGAGTCCAGTGCACATGCCAGCGCAATGACCAGCGCGGACAAGACCACAGAGGATGAGATATTGCAGCTAATGGAGAAATTGGCCGCTCTACAAATGGAGAATGCACAGCTGCGCGATAAGACTGATGAGCTAACCATGGAGATTGAAAATTTGCATGTGGAACTGGCGCGCGCCAAGGTGAGAAGCAAGAAGCAGGCAACGGCCACTCTGAGTGGGGATGAGCTGGAAACATCCTTCAGTGCTTCGGCAACCAAGCGAAGAGGCGACTCGCCTAGTAAAACGCACCTAACCGAAAGCAAGCAACGCAAATGTGCGGATGAGTCGGGCGCCAGTGAAGTGAGCGACAACAGTGGCGAATGGTTGGCACTGAATTCGGAGATGCAGCGTTCCAAGAGCCACGATGAAGAGCTGAACAGTCTAAAGCAACGCATTGCCGAACTAGAAGAAAAACTTAAGTTGGCCCAGCAGCCAGATGAAGCGAAGGCTACAGCGAATAGTGACAGTCGGGCCAGCTCCCCAGAGACACGATGCAAGGAGCTGGAGGCGAGTCTGGAGCAAATGCAGCGTGCCTACGAGGACTGCGAGGACTACTGGCAGTCCAAGCTAAGCGAGGAACGCCAAATCTACGAAGATGAGCAGCTGGAGAGCGACAAGAAGTTCACCGAGCTCATGGAGAAGGTGCGCGAATATGAGGAGCAATTCAGTAAGGACGGCCGACTATCGCCAATCGATGAGCGCGACATGCTCGAACAGCAATACATTGAACTGGAGGGCGAGGCTGCTGAGCTCCGGGAAAACTCCATACGCATGCTTGAGGAGAAGTCACAGCAAATAAATGCGCTGCAGCTGGAGATTGAGGATCTGCGCACCCGTTTGGGCGAGAGCGTTGAAATCCTTACGGGCGCCTGTCAATTAAACAATGAGGCGCTGGGCCAGCTTAATGCAACAGACGCTGGCCAGAGTCCAGCTAGTTCGCCCATCAGTTATCTGTGGCATCAGAGCACTATTCAGGAACCAGTCAAATCCTTTGGCGGAGCAGCTGAGGAACCGACGGCTATCGCGTTGCTTGGCGACTCACCGTCCCATAAGGCTGCCAGTCGGTGAGTAGGCGCTCAGTTTATACTCGTATGTCTATGCTATGCATATTGAGTGCAGTATGATTTCCCAACCTTACCGTTTGGTATAAAACATATTTTTATTTTACCTATTTTATAAGTGGTATGTCTGTATGTTGAATAAATGCTAATAGAAAATCTTGTTGTGTGTTGTTAAAGTGGCATGTCTGTTGTTGTGTGTTTGTGTCCTACTGATAATGATTCCACATTATCTATAGCGTACGAATGACTGTTTGGGTATCTACATATGAATACGTGCTATTAAAGAAATATAGGTGCACCACTATCATTCAAGATACTGCCGTTACACCCTTAAAAAGTCAGCTAACAATGTCATTCCATGATGTCGCATGTATGATAATAGATGGAAATGTTGAATTTTAAATATTTACATCATTTTTTGTCGCATGGTTACTAACCTAGTAGGTGCCTCGTCAACTATTGAACTAAAATGCAACTAATGAAAAGGCTATAACTGTTTCTGAGCGTCTATAGCTTTTCTAATTAATTAATTATCCAAAAAGTAAAAGGGTATACTAGTTTTGTGCGAAAATATGTCACACACAGAAGGAGGCGTGGCAGAACCCACAAAGTATATATGTATTATTGATCAGGTTGACAAGCCGAGTCGATATAGCCATGTCTGTCTTGTCGGTCCGCCCCTCTGTATGAACGCAAGGATCTTGGAAAGCATAAGAGCTTAAATAACAAAAACTTGGTATCCACATCCTAAGCTCGAATAAGGAAGAGCTTGTGTTTCTTTTCTAATTCACCACCCACTCCCCCGCCATTCGCAATTTTCCATAACTTCCTTCTAGTATGCCAAGTTTCATAAATATAAGTTAATTGTGAAGAAAGTTATGGCTATAAATGTAAGCTGTGTCGGCAGCTGTTGTTGCTGCTTTAAAATAAACACGCATAGACACGATTCTGATGTAAATGTATGTTTGGAAATGTATAAACAAATATCTCCACATATGTATGTATTAAGTATTTTTTATAGAATTTAATTAACTAATTAAATTATTTGAAATTCTTTTTTAATTATTTAAAAAGTGTACAGGGTATTTTACTGTCGGGCTAGCTCGACTTTAGCGTTCTTTCTTGTTTTAATTGTGTTTTATTGATTTGTCTTTGTGTTCTGCATGTGCGATAACTGACCCTTCCCTCGTCATCTCCTATCAACAGCATTAATTTGACCACTTCGGAAACTTCCATATTCAGCACCACACCCTTCGATAGCACATCTTCAGGCCCTTCACCCACGACCAGTGGAAAAGGCCGCAATTCGCCAGCAGGCGCCATGGCGCCCATTAGCAAACCAGCTCGCGGTAAAAGTCCAACAGAAGGCGATATAGCTGATTGCGAAACCTCATCGACGGCGTCTAACAAGAGCTTCGACACGCACAGTGTGGTCTCCACCACTAAAACTTCTTGCCTCAGCCACGAGAAATGTCACAGTCCAAGCCTTTTGAAGGAGGAACTGAAACGCCTCAAGTTCTTTGAGTTGTCTCTACGTGAACAAATTAAAGATTTGAGCCTGCAACGTGACGGTTTAGTAATGGAACTGCAACAGTTGCAGGAAGCGCGACCTGTGCTCGAAAAGGCCTATGCGGTAAGCGAACAATTATTCAGCATTTAAATTATCTGGTTAGCTAAATAGTTTACTTTTGAAGCGCACCACACATCCGACTCTGCAGCAGCGATTGAATCAACTGGAGTTACGCAATCGTCATCTGCAAAACGTGGTGAAGCAGCAACAGCAATACACCGAGTCCCTGATGCAGCGTAAGCCTCAAAAGTTCAACTAAAACCATTGAGATAGTTAAATTCTTTACCACTCAACCCACAGAATCTTGGCGTCAGCATCAAGTGGAGCTCAACGATTTGCATGGTCGCATCGAAGCGCAAACAGTAATGCTTGCCGATCAGACGCAACGTCTGCAGAATGCCGATGTCCTTGTCAAAGATCTGTATGTGGAGAACTCGCATTTGACGGCCACTGTGCAGCGTCTGGAGCAGCAGCGAGCCCGCGTCAATCTAATACACCAGCAACAGCAGCAGCAGCAGCAACAACAGCAGCAGCGTATTGTTGGAGCCGCCTTGAGTGGCCTACCAGGCATGCCTTAGATATGCAACAGCAACCACTAATCGAACTAAACCCATAACTATACCAATACATATAGACCTACTCAATTTCAATTTTAGTCGTAGTTGCTGGCGCATTGAAGTTGCAACCATCGACAGACAATCCATTGTTGATGACGCAACAACGTTATATGTTATTATTATTATTATTATGTGTAGAAAATATACATATTTATGATGTATGTATTCCAATTGATATATACTATACATATATATATGTATGTGTGAGTGTGTCTGTATTCACTATTCGATGTTCTGAACACAGAAAATGCATAACGCTGTGCACTCGCCGAGCACAAACGGAAACGCAAACGCAAAAAGGAACAATCCAAACTTATGTACCGATTTTAAACACAATAATCGAAATAACTGAACAATTTACTAACTAAGCAAACTATTTACATTTACATACATGCATATACACATACATTCATACCTTCGTACTACTGCAATGTTGACCTTACTAATTGACTACTGAAATAGTTAACGTATTATGTAATTATTAAATTAGAAAAGCAGTATTTTAAATTTGTTATGCGTCTGAGTATGTGAGCAAGTTTATCAAAGTCACGTGCGTATATTCAAATGCATCGGAATTGTTGTTGATTTTATTGGTAGTAACAAAATAACAAACAAAAAAATATGTAAAAAAAAACACAAAGAAACTGATTGAGAAACGAAAAAAGACCTGTAATTTTGTATACATATTAATTTTAATTTCTTAAATGTGTATTTATTTTGAAATTATGCTTATCAATACTCTCCAAATTGCTCTTTTTGTTAAACGTTATTTTCTATTTACACATTAATTTATGAAAAAACCTTCGATTTAATATTTTTATACACAAATCTGTGTTGTCAGTGCTTACAAATAATTACGAACAAACTAGAAATGTACTTTCTAAAAGTATAAACAAAAAACAAAACAAATGTACAATAATTTAATTGAAGCGTGTTCGAAAATAAAACCAATGCAAACCAAACCAAAAGAAATACGTCTTATAAACTTAGCATTCTCAGCCACAGCTGGCAGATCATTGGCAAAGATTACGTTTGTGGATATAGATTCCTTTTGAGTTTATATATCGCTAGCAGTACCAAATTTTTTAAATAAAAACTTTATTTCAAAGCGAGGAACTTTCTAAGCAATTGGTCCCATTACTATTTGTATAAAATAATGAGGCTCTTTTTAATTTACTAAAAATGTCTGTAATTTCCTATTATTGGCGTGTGGTTGAGGTGGGACAATATTAAAAATTATAATCGAAGGGCCTAGATTAGGAAATTTGGTATATCAGTGATATTCCTGCACTGATACAGAAGCTTCTTAAAATTAGCGGTATAACGATACCATCTTGGTTGGAAAAAGTTAAATGGGATATACACAAATTAGGAAAATTTTAATCCTTTCACTCACTTTATAGGGCTCACTGCAAGCTGCGATCTGCATTCGTTCTGGACGACCTAGCCCAGAACTTCAAACTGTATGTAGTAGAAGTATGTAAGTTTTTATAAACATTTGTTTCGCTTGGGGATTTTAAAAATTTTAATAGGAAACAAGTATTGAAACAATGCGCGCGCATAGCTTTGAAATCATCGATTAGCGCTGGCAGAAATTCCGATAGCTGGTATTATTTTGTGAATAGTATTTCTAATGCGGATTGTTTTAGCTACATAAAATGTCCCAAATAGCAATATGTTCGAATGCATTACCTCTCTTTATTCAAAGCCATATCGGCCGCTTTACAAAAGCAACTGTTGAACTTGCCAGCAGTAGTATTTCGGCAACTCAGTACTAAAAGCAGTAGTGTTGTGAAAGCAAGGCAGGTATCACAATTGTTATCGTTTAGTACCTTCGCTTCAGCCTTATCGAAACCATGTTGTGTGTGGGCTTGCGACGCGCAAGATTTTCGTTAATTATAAGTGTTTTGGTGTTTATTGTGCAAGTTAAAACAGGTGAGTAACTAGTGCAGAGTGTGTTGCAACTGTGAAAAATCATTTGCAGCGAATACATTGATTAAGGCTCGTTGAACGCGCATTGTTTTCATCCCATGACACTGTCAGTGTTTTGTGTATTTATGAATGTGTGTGTGTGTGTGTGTTGCATTGGTTCCTAACAAGTGCAGTTGTGCCTGTGTGTGTGCGGTTTGTTTTGTTATTCGATGCGCAAAACGGCGTTTTAATTAAATTAAACAGTTGTTGCTAGTTACGGTGGTGCGAACATTAACGAGTTAGGCGCGCACGGGCCCTACTAAAGGGGCGGTAACTTGTTTTGTTATTGCATGACCAGTGTGGGGCAGTTTCAAGGCCTCAAAAGGTTCCCAGCATGCCGCCGCACAACCGCACACCAGGAAAACGACGTTACCATTACATAAAACTATTTACTACGTTTCGTTTGCAATTTAATTTGTTGCATTTGCTATCAATTGTTTATAAAATAGAGCTGTGCACTCGGTGAACTTAATTTTAGTTCACTTGCAGCTTTGATCTAGTTCAGATTTTAGTTCATTCCGGGTAAGAAGTTCTGTTGCCTACTTTTGGCATCAAAAAACTGAGCCAAGTTAATGTACGGCCAAAAGTATGTTACACTTAGCGAAATGCTAAAGCTTTTAAATATCCGTTATAAGTTGCAATCAGCAGTACGAATCACTGGAACCAATATTTATTTAATTTCAATCTTCTTTAATAAAAATCCAACCAATAAAAGAACAGATCGAGAATGCTTTTGGAGAAAATGGTTTATTGTCGCGCCTATTCACGGCGCTCCAATTGAATCTTGATATTGTGGTGGGATCGCAGCACAATCCCATATTCGAAAATCACATCCTCCAGTCGGGTCAGTGGTAACAATTTGAAATTCCGCAGCACAGCCACCAGCAGGACCTTCATTTCCAGAATGGCAAACTTCTGACCAATGCAATTGCGTTGCCCCGCACTGAAGGGCACGAAGGCAAAAGGATGTCGGTGCAAGCTGTTTTCCGGCAGGAAACGATCGGGCTGAAATTCTGATGGATTCGGGAAGTGTCTAGGATCTCGCATAATGTCGAATATATGAATATTGATTTGCGTCTCTCGGGGTAAAATCAGGCCATTGACAACACACTCTTCGACGTTCTTTCGACCAATAAATGGTACTGGTGGAAAAAGTCGTAAAGATTCCTTGATGACGCATTCCAAATAGATCAGCTCATTGAAATCAAAGACGCTTAATGTGTCAATTTCGCCTAAATCCTGCAACTCCTCATAGCAACGTTGCTGTACATCCTCGTGCAGGGCGAGCATCAGCAGGGTAAAGATCAGGCAGGTCGATGTGGTGTCATATCCCTCAAACATGAAGGTGTTGACCTCGTCACAAATGCCCTGATGATCTATTTGCCCCTGGGCCTCGGCAGCGAGCAGCGTGTCCAGCATTGCATACCGTTTTTTTTTGCCACAATCGTCCTCGGTTGCAATGTTCTGTTGTTGCTTCTGGCGTTGGAATATCTGCCGTTTGCGCTCAATGATTCGACTGGAGAACTCATGGGCTATTTTCAAATTCTTCTTGTGCTTGTTGTAATCACCGTAAATGTAGAAGTACAACCATAAATACAGAAGAGGATTGCAGACACGCTGTACCATAACAGACTCGATGGCGTGTATTGCTTCCCGATAAGTTGCGCTCTCCACCATATCATCCAGCTTGACCCCCAGTGCGGTTTCTATTGATAAGAGATTGCAATGTGTTAGGTATTGATTGAATTAGCAGGTGGTGTGATTTTCAATAACGAATATATATGGATAGTATGAATACCTATGACCGGCAATAGATGGTAGTAGAAGCTTCGAACTTACCGCAAACGTTGTTCAGTGTGAACTGCGGTACAACATGATTTAGGGTCAATTCGTTTCCTACGCTTGGCTCAAGCACTGTCACCAATTTTTTGCACTCCTCTCTGCATTAGAAAATTATAAGATCAACTAAATAAAATACACACAAATACGGTTGTAGCTCACTTGAATATCTCAAGAAATGTTTGGAGCACATTGAAGTGAAATGCCGGCGTCAGTGTCTTTCGTCTAAAATGCCATTTTTCATCTAAATTGTGGGAGATTTGAGAGTCAAATAATTACAAAACCATATATTACGAGCAATTATGTATGTACTTGTATATAATAAAATATAATTGTAGTGTTCAGGTCCAATTGAGTTGGACCTTTTCATTAGAGTACCAAATACATAGTGGATTACGTTTACCATACGATTAGGTGATTACCGAATCACAGAGCTATTATATGCACATATTCGAAAATCTACGTACTACACAGACGGATGGACGTGGCTCATTGACTTAGACTATAGAGTTTGATCACGCGGCATGATTCTAAAATTTCCATCATCAACAGGTTGACGATAAATAGGGTTTCCTTTCGTGTTCTACAAAGCCACTTTTTATCACTATTTAGGAATTGTTTTCAACTTACTTGTGCTTGTGAGCAATCCTTCCCCCAGAAACGGCTTTAGCAGTTCATACACTACGTTCTTTGTGATTAGCTTGGTGCTTTGAAAGATTTCCTCCGCCTCTTCGGCTCGGGTGACATTGTACATGGGTGCCAATAGAAAGTACCACACATAGTTTCGACCTTGGGCGCGAACATGGGCTTCGCGCACAAAATTAAAGATCTTGGCTGTGAGGGGCAGCTACATCAGTGATCCGAAATCTAGTGAGTAACTGTTGCAGCTTTACTCACACGGTGTCATTTTCAGAATATCGAAATTATTGCCGAAACGTGTCGTGCCTGGTAATACGGCGACTTTGCTCTCCAGGTCACTCCCATCCTCGGTTTTCACCCTTTTGCACAGGGACAGCAGGAAGTATTCACGATTGAGGCGCTGCAGTAGAAGGCCCAATAAAATTATTATTAGGGTTGTAAATATCAGTATGATTAGCATTATTCCGATTAGCTGCGTTCTCTGTTTTTGGCTTTAGCACGTACTGCGACTCACTGAGCTAGAACATGCTTCGTGCTGGATCCGGCTGCAGATAATGCCGTCCGTTGAAAATATAGTACATGGGAATTATCATCATATAGTACATCTGTACATACACGTACTAATGAACCTTATTTCGTAATCTGAATACAAACATAAAGCGTTCACACACGCAATGTAAAACAAAACAAAGTTCAAGCCGGCCTTATAAGGTGCTGACCAGCCTGTGCATATGACGGTTAACCCCAGAATTAACAAGTAGGTTTTATTATGGAATTTAAAAAGCTAAAGGCGCACTTGTCGCAAAACTCTTGGGAACACTTATTGATAAAGTTCGAAATTATTATGGCTTGTTTTCGATAGCGGGTTCTACGTACCAATTAAAAATATAAAAACAAACAATTCTTTTAATATAGGGTGTTCGATAAGCATTATTAATTGGGGGACTTTAATCGTCTAGTGATAGTAGAAATGGCCAAGTTTTAAGCCAGTGGGTGAGGTTTGTCGAAGCAAAAGACTGACCACCAGTCAGTGAATAAATTTTCGATTGTTGTGTTTTGTACATAAAATGTACAAGTACAAGAGATTATTAGGTTTGCGGGAGGTGAAAAATTTAACAGGCTGAAGGAGGCGTGGCAGACCCCACAAAGTATATATATTCTTGACCAGCATAACAAGCACTTTAATATCAGAGACTATAAGAGCTAGAGACACAAAATTTTCCGCAAAGATGCCTTTTGTGTGTACGCTATACGGGTTTTTATACCCTGTACCCAAAGGGTGAAAGGGTATACTAGCTTTGTGAGAATGTACTTATATGTGTTTTTGATCTGGGTGACAAGCCGAGTCGATATAGCCATCTCCGTCTGTGCGTCCGTCTGGAGGAGCGCAAGGATCTCAGAAGGCACAACAGTTAGAATTACCAAACTTGGTATCCAGGTTCCCCTAAGCCCTAGGCAGGTGAAGTTTGTTGTTTTACCTACCTCACCTATATCTCGAAGACTATAAGAGCTAGAGACACTAAATTAGAAAATTCAGTTCAAGATGCCTTATATAAAGACGCAGAAAATATGTATTTTGGAATATTCCTCCCTCTTCCCCGAAATGGGCGATTTACCATGAATCCCGTAATTCTTGGAATTAACTCAAATTAGACAAATAGCTCCAGTTAGCAATTATCAGTCTTCGATATTTCATTATGATACGCTGATTTTAAAGGAAGTCATAGCCATAAATGTACTTTCTCTCCGAGCGCTGCCCGCAGCTTTTGTTGTTGTTGCTGCTCACACACAGCCACGTATAGACTCAATTAAACACAATTCCTATTCCTACACCCTTTACGTAAGTTCGAATACCAAGGGAGGTAAAATCGATCAAACAAATTTTTTTAATTCTTTTCATTTTTTAAATTTCTTTACTGCTTTGAAGATTATTTAATTATTTCCAACCAAAGAGTATTACTTTTAGGTTCTTGATTAAATACCTCGTGAAAAATGTATTTCAGACGGGATATAGGTTTCTGTATTATATTTCCATGGACGGTTGCCCAGGTATTGGCGAAAACTCCAACATATTAGAAAAATTTACCAATAGGGTCAGCAAAAAAATCACCTTATCAACATATTTTCCTTTCATCAAATATAACTACTTTATATTTTCAAATTTAAAATTTATTTTATAAACTAATCAATATTTTCCAAACGAAATAAATGACCTGATCATTTAATACTAAAAGTAAATTTCCATTGCCTTATGCCTCAGCTTTTAGCGGTTAATTTTTATTCGATATGTACGTTCTCAGTTACTTCTAATTACTTTTAGTATGCAATCCACTCTGCTACAATTACTTCTTTTAATTCTTTCAAAAACTTTAATTGACTTCAATGCATATAAACCTTGCCGGAACGGATTCCCCAAGGGGACGTTTTGCAAGTAACATCAAAAAATGTTAAAACCGGATTCAAGCCATATTAAATGAAAAGAATTGGCAAATATATTTTATTATTCAGAAAGAGTTGTAGTTGTCAGTTTAAAAAAGACCATATTATGTGAATTTTGATGTAAATCATAAAAAAGAGACGGGGCCTTTGTGTACACCTAATTCTGTTTGTACACGGTCTTTTTTTACACGATTTTGATATAACACGGTTTGAAAATGAAAAATTTCATATATATTTCTTTAGAGATAAGGAACCAATTATTTTTTTTTGCATATGATCAATGTCTTTTTTACACGGTTGTCTCTGGAACCAATCTACCGTGTAAAAACAGAATTAGGTGTAGGCCGAAAAATAATTCAAGGACTTTTAGAGCTATCCCGGGGAAACCCCCAAGCCAAATCGATAATCGATCACTGTGACCTTACGATGACAGATCTTGTTGGTAAAAGTTCCATTTACCCATCTTTTTCCGTTTGAATGCCATGTCTCTCTTACTGTTATCAATCGCAGTAAGAACAACGGAATAGTGGCTATAACATCCTTTAGATCTAACCTATCACGAGCTATGAGGATACATACTAATTGCATGTTGGTATTATCTTTCCGAGTGGGTTCGAGAGCTATGAAAAATAACTTATAGCAGGGAACAGGCGTACATCGAGGAAATTTTCATACTTTTCGAAATCTGTGCGTCCATACAGACAGACGGATTAACCGGCACCTGTTTCTGGGTGTCGCATACTCTCTATTGGTACACGAATCAGGACAACATCCTGTAAATTACCGAAATAAATGTAAATCTTTTTCTTCGACACAGAAATACTTGGCTACGAAGTTCAAAATTGAAATCAAAAATATATCACTTGGCAAAATTCCACTAAAAAATTAAAACATTTGACTGCTTGCTCTATTAAGATTATGATACGAATAAATATTCAGCAACTATTTTCCGATGAACTACGTGCAATTATTTATTATTGAACAGACATTTATAGCTAAACATGCCACAGCGCAATGACTTTTATTTCCCAATATAGCTGCGAATATGTGGTCTTAAAATATTTGAAAATAAAATACGCATGGAGTGCCAGAAACACCGCTGTAATTGCGCAAAATCTGACTAACAACTCTATGTATGCATGTGAGTTAACATGGCTTTCTGTACTTGGCACATTTCCTTCTAAGCATCACAAATATTTTCCCATCGACCGACTGTGGGATGCGATACAAAAAAGTGGAGATATGTCGCATAGAAATGCCGCATTGATTAAACTTTGATTAGCTGCGTCTGCTGCGTTTGTTGTGTTTTGGCTCGAAGAATTAATTTGAGCCAAGTTTGTACTCGCCACAACGATATCGAGTGCGTCCGTGCACGTACAGAAATGGAAGCGGCTCGCTGCAATAGACGCAAAGGCAGAGTATAGAGAAAAAAATTAAATCACCGTAATTACATTTTCAGTGGAAAAGGCAAGAGTCGAACGCGCAAACATGTTGCCAGGCGGGTCGCAGGAGCAGACAATCGGCCAGCTACTCGTGTATGTACTATATGTATGTATGTATGTACTCGTATATATGAAGCTATGTGCGTCGACTGCGGCTGCCGATGTCGGCAATGACAAAAATAGTCAATGTGTCTGAGATGCGACTGCATTTGGGCATGAAAATTGCAGCGGCGTTGAACACCAATGGAAAAACTTGGCCAGCGTTGCACACAAGTAGCAGCGATGGTTGTTATTGTAACTGGTTGTTGTTGTTGTTGCTGTTGTTATTATTGTTGTGGCCGCTGTTATGAACAAATGTTATTGCAACCACAGCAACAATAAGCAGAGCAACAGCAACAAGCAACTGCTCATTAAGATGCAAAACACGTCGCTTGCCGCTTTTCAGAATTACTAATTGAATCGACGCGATCAGTGGCAATTGCAGCGGGCACAGCAACAGCAACAGCAGCAACAACAATAACGACAACAACAACAACAACAAAAACAGCGGTAGGGAACTCTTTGCCTGCCCCATTGTTTGTTGTGATTATTGTTGCGGCTGTAGAAGTTGTTGCTGCTGGCAGCGGAAGCTGCTGTTTGCTCTTGGCAAAAGTTTATTGTCATTGAAATGACTGTTTCTTTTTTTAAATAAAAAATACCCTATGTCCAATGGGATAAAGCTATACCGTATAAGTAGGAGTGTCTGCAAAGCTCAGAAAGAGGTTTACCAGAACTCGTAGTACATACAAAGCGACCCAACTGACCATGTTTAAGGACAATCGCCCTATGCCCAATGGGATAAAGCTATACCGTATAAGTAGGAGTGTCTGCAAAGCTCAGAAAGAGGTTTACCAGAACCCGTAATACATACAAAGCGACCCAACTGACCATGTTTAAGGACAATTGCCTGTATATTGTAATTTATCCGAACAACAAATGAATGCAATTGTAAGGAAACATATACGGCTTTAATGACCCAGCTAGTCGAAAAAAAGAAACCAATTTCTAGATTTGAAGTTGAGTGAAACTCCTAATATTTCTGATGGAAATTAGTGCCGAAAACAAAACGTAATGGGAAAATGTATACCGTAGAATTTCATTTCCATTTAGGAGTGAGAGTATACAAAGAAAACAAAAAAATTAAATAACAATAATGCACATACAAGTACAATATATTTGTAAGAAAAAAGGAAGATTGTGGTAATTTTGTTCTTCAATCACATTTTTTAGATTTTCAATTGAAGAAGTATGTCAGAAAGCAGTGAATATTCTTGCAACATCCATAAGAATGGTAGAGCACATGATATAAATATGTATATACTTACATATGTACCTACATATACAGTAAACAAGAGAGAACGCTACAGTCGAGCAAGCCCGACAGTGTAATACCCTGTACCCAGGTAAACTTCCGTCACTGAGTTATATGCGCCCATAGCAGCAACAAAAAGAGGAAGAAGAAGAGCGAACTTGTTGCTGCAGTTTGTGGGGGTTGTACTGGCGAGAATTTGTTTTGCTAATAACTTAATAACTTTCTTAG